TTATTATTATTACACTCTGAACGGGACACCAATCCTTCGCACGGCACACCAAGACGCAGACACACACTCATATCAGAACCAGTTTTCTCAGAAGCCAATGAGCCTACCAGTTAATAGTGTTTGCATAGACTGTGGGAGGAAACCCATGCAAACACAGAGAAAACATACAGTACAAAACTCCATACAGACATAGTCGCAGGTTTGGAATTGAATCCAGGGCCCCAGTCATGTGAGGCAGCAACGCAAACTGCTGCTCCGTCATGTTACCCCTGTAGCACACCAGTAAATCCATTTTAAACTTGTACATATAATATGCAACACCATACTGGCAGTTTCAGATGAAAACAGCCCCTGAACATCTCTGTCATTGATGTTATCAGGGCTAAGTCTGTACTTTCCTGTGTGTTTTAGAAGTGTCCTGTGATAAAGTGCTTTAGGATATACAGTACATGACTAATGTGTTTTGGCATGTATGTGGTGCCCCAAACTTTCCTGAATGACAGCTCTCAAGCTACTATTAATCATCAGGTAAAATTTATTTTCTTTGTAGGTCTAACTGCCACTAAAAAAAAACATTTTATGGGGCTGGGTGGAGACTAAGATACCCCTAAGTGGTAAGTGCAGTTCCAATTTCTCAGACTGGTTATTAAACCTCGGTGATAAAATAAATTCACTGATGTAATAGAAAAAAATTACAAATTTTGAATTAAGCACAAAGTCATGAGCTTTGTGAAAGTACTGTAAGTTGCCATGTTGTCGCAAGCTCACATTAGAGGTTCCATGAATTGTGACGTGATGTGGCCCTCCCTGCTCACTAGTCTCCACAATGACTAATGTAATGTGACTTACAAGGAAATATAGGTCGTGCAGACATTTCTCCGCAGGAATGATCCATGCAAAGTTAACAAGTAGTATTTGTCGGCAAAACGGTCTCAAAATAGAAAGCAATATTTCTATTGGATTAAAAGAGATGTATTCACAAGCCTGCTTGTTTACAATGTTATACTGTAGGGCAGCATCACATCACCGAAACCTTTGTTGCCTCGTTCTAAATCGCAGAATGTGGCTCTGCGTATACTTGGCAATTTTGTCTATTTTGTGATGTAAATTGGAGGTCTTACAAGTTACTGTGTACGTTTTGCTTTTATTGCGGTTTGAAATGCACTCAACAATGCTGATTCTCTCTAACTATGAAATATGAAAATAGCTTTGCAGTTTAAATTGTACATTGTTGCATTCATTGGCAGTGATTGTGCTTATGGAAGTAAATTAGTTCACACTTTGCTAGTACAAAAACCTCAGGTTTCCCCCCTTCTTGTTTCTTTCTGTGTGAGCTTGTAGTCTGCATATTTTAGTCTTGATATTTTTGGGGTCTCAGAAATTAATAAACATTTGTGAAAGAAAACATTACTCACTCTTTTGGCAAGTCAGAATCCTACTTCTTGTAAATATCTCAGTATCATACATCCCTCCACAAATTGTGTTGTACTGTAAGAGACAAATCCAGCCTACAGCATTTAAGCCTATTTCTGACAGCTCACTAAACCCTGTAATCTCATTTGGTCAAACTGCAAATTAACTGACTTTGAATAAAATAATATAAGCATCCATTGTACAATGAGGCATACCTTTAAACACATTGAGTATACTCTTAATATTCTCCTTAGAGTAACCCATGAGACAGGGTCACTGAAATGGTAGTCTATCATATTGTTACACTGCTGTGTACATTTGCGCCATGTAAAGGTGTTAAATCAATCACATATTTGTCAGGCTGGTTTAAGAATTTTTGTTTGCTTTGGGGTTTTAGAAATTTATACATCATGAACAATAGAAGCAACAAGTGTGCAACTATAACAGGCTTGCCAATGTGTTTGACAGGGGATGTTATAATTGCAAAATAGGGAGTTTATGGAATCAATATAATAATTACATCCTGACACCACCTTGCTATGCAAACAAATTATAAAGATGAATAATTTATCTGTTCAAGGTGAGGGATTACCAAGCATTACACAGCAGGTGTTCTAAATTCTCTGGCACTGCCAGATAATAGAATGGTTATAGTGCCAAAACGTAGACAAGACAAATACTTAATAAACAATAAATAGCACTAGCACAAACTTACAAAACATACAATGGTTACCCTATAAGATATGTACAATTCTAAGAGTTCTAGAGCCCTGTCTTCCATAGACATAGAAGAGTGACCCTACAGTTGTAATATCCAAAGCACTTTAACAGACCACAGAGAGAAAACTTACAACCTCATCGTACACAGGACTAAATCACACTCCCTACACAGATGCCCACAAGTGAATGGGAACCAATTTTCCTATTCTAAAGAGAAGCAGCAGTAAAATAGAAGGAACATTTTTAAACTGCAGATCCTACGATAAAGGTAATTAGAATTTCCAAATAAATAAGACAACAAACTGACTATATGCTCAGATTACCAGCATTCAGATGACCTAGACAGAGTATAGTTTGACTTGAAAGACAATGATTCAAACCAAATGATGGTGTAATTCCTTTTTCTTCCTTTTCATTCTTCATGTTCATCTTTCTTTGTCTATATGTCCATTCCTGTTGAGGTTATCTTAACGACCTCACTTGGAATGGCACAGTCACCGTTGAATTTGGTGGTCTTAATGATTTAACAGTTAAATTTATTAACCTGTAAATTATTAGGACTACTTTGATCATCTGCATCTTCTGCCTAGGCAGCTGTTTCAAATCAGAAAGGCAATATCCGTGATTCCCAGCCTTCAGAATAGGGCAATCAAGCTGGGAACTGCAAACAAGCTAATGCCAGCTGCTAATCCCAGTTGATATTCAACTGCTGAACTCCTATCCTCAGGTCTCCCACATCTGCTGATTACTTAATTGAAACTTTAATAAGTTGCTTAATTGGAACATTTTCATCTACTTGAAGGGTGGTGATGTTCAAGTCCTTACAAAATGTAATAGTTAAAAGGAAACCTCCAGTATGTTTTAAAGCTAAATTAATCATATTGAATAGATTAAGGGTTCAAATAACTATTAGTTTAGCTGTGACGAGAAAACAACAGCCCAATGAAATATTCAATGAGCTGAAAGGACAATGAAATACAAGCTCAAACAATATCCTTTTAGGATTAATGTTTTTAGGGTTAATTGACATGAACATATGATAATAAAATACTATAGATATGTCAATTTTCCAGAATATGCTGTGGTTATCGTTAGCAAGAGGGTATAACTGTTTTTTTGACAACGAGTGTGAATCCTGCATTGCATTTTATTTAATTATTAATCAGTTTTCATATAAATCAATACTTCATGCCAATTCGTTTCCATATTTCAAAGTTCCTAAATGACAGGAGTTCAGCAGTGTCATCCAGATGGTTATATTCCTGTCCAAGACTAAATTAAGTTTGGGGAAAAGTTCAGTCTCTTTTGACTCCGAGGTGAAAAAGTAATTTTTGGCAAACCAGCAATCAGAATAAAAGCTGTAGAGATTCGATCTTGTTTCAACAACTTCTGTCCACCTACCACACACACACACACCTCAGCAATGTTTAATGAAGTAAGGCCTCAGCTAGAACTGAAGTAAAAAGACTCCAAAGATCAGTGCAACACACCTTACACCATATTCAACACAAAGGTCTTAAAGTTCTTCACAGCCTCTAAGAAAGTCCACTGACTGACTTATTTAATACTACAAGTGTCATGTGTAATAGTTCCAAATTATACATAACTACCTTGATGACACCTCCAAATTAAAAGAACAAGCATCTTTATGTACGTTTTGCAGCTTTAAAAAAACTCCAGGTGCAGAGTAGCCAATGAAAGAAATTAGAATAAAAATAGGCAGGATTAAGCTGCCCTCACTTTATAGCAGTACCTGTGACTGTCCCTTCAAGGGCATAAGATGAACATTGCTCTGATAAATAGGTCTGTCACCATTAAACTAAAAAAAAAAAACTATTGCCTGATAGAGCAATTTCAAAAGGCTTTTAGAAAAAAGCAAAAAGTAGAATTGAATTTAAACACTGGTAACCTCAATTCATCCTAGAAAAATAAAGTTCCATAGATGGATGGCAAGGATATGTATTAAAGCCAACACTGAAATGGGTCATTAAAATATTGACATTTTTATTTCACAAATGAATTGAAGAGAAAAACAAGTCACAAAATGATTTTTCCCACAACCATCTTACACTCTGTGCCATTGTATTCATTGTTAAAGTTTTTGTTTTACATGTAACCATTAACTAGACTGAAGAACCTACAATAAGTGGGTTCTGAAACTGTAATGCCAAATCCAGACAATGCAAAAACATTGGGCTTGTAAAGGAAACTTGTTAAAATCTGTACTCATTTTGCAATTCCTCATGCATATAAAGTTTAGACATATCTGCATTTTCTCTCCACAAATTTCTGAAAAGTATGCATTTGAAAACCCCCTAGGATTTGAGTTTCTAGAGGCCGAAAAGGCCTTAACTAAAACAGGAGTAAAAATCACCAATTAGAATTGCCACTTCTTTCATTCAGAAGAATCAAGAGAAACAAAAGGTGAATTTAACTTTGCACAAGGCATCAATTTGTTTCAGAAGTAATAGAAGTTAGAGGAAAGGATTTCTTAAAAACAATTTCCCAGACTGTTTGAATTCTATTTTAAACTTTGACTTAGATGAAGGCTGTCAAATCTCCTTGAATTAAGTGTAATCTCTTGGACACATCCAGAAGCAATCCAACAAGTCTAAAACTTGATTTTCACACAAGGGGCTTTTAATAAAAACATTAAAGAAGTAAAAAAAAAAGTCTTACTATATGAAAGCCATACTTTCTTACTGAAAAAAACAACTCTTGTAGATGGGTGCAATATCCAACATTTTTACCCTAATGTTTCATGAAACAGTATTTTACAGTAAGTTACAGTATTTTGTAAAAAACTGCACAAAATAATTGATTACTTCAAAAGGTCTGGCTATGGAATAAATTGTCCCATTTAGTCTCAATATTCAAGTGTTGGAAAACTCAGCCACGGTTTTTCATTACAGAAGTGAAACTTACAAGCTTAAAACCAAATATCTCCCATTATACATCACAGCCTAATGCCAAACCCAGTAAAATTAGTCTGGGCTTTGTATAGAAATATACTTAAGTTACAGCCCAAAGGCAACAATAAGAGGTACATTAAAAAAAAGTCAAAAGCTGCTCAAGTTTTCCCCATTGATACCGTTTTCCAGTTTCATACAAATAAGTCATTTGCCATCTCGAGCCAACAATTTTTGAAAATAACTTTGTTCATCGGGAGAGCTCATCAGTTACTTAAACATGTCAGCGAACCTTGTTCTCTTCCTTTTTATTTAAATTGTTTTAAGAAACGGGTACATGGACAAATTCACTGTACTCCAGGGGAATGTCCCTTAGAAATCACCCTTTCAAAGTAATCTTACCAAGAACCTTTAAACCATTATCACTTTGTTTTCTCTAAAGATTGTGCTTTTGTAGAAATAAAATAAAAACATTACATTGTTCTTATGGGTGTTGAGTTTCTTGAAGGTTTATTGGCTTGGTGATGAAGCCTTCCCTTTTGCTTTAATAACACTGTTCATCTCCCTACACACACACACACAAACAGAAGTAACGTATAAATTAAAATTATCAGGCTGCTTTACATTCAGTAAAATGAAACAAAAAGATGCAGCCTCAGCTTGGCACTGGCTTGTGGTCAGTCTTGCCGTTCGTTTGGATCCATTTCGAGACACTGTGTCAGACGATGGCGTTCGTTCCCCTCAGTCCCACTCCCCGTGCAAACTGCTCCAGGAGGCCGGAGATGGCTCCAGACGGCCTGGGAGCGGTCGATTTCAAGCCAACCGTGGAGCTGTAGGCTGCCAGGAACACCTCTCTCACCGCTTCGAGTCGAACCTGTCGCTCCGAGGGTGGGGGACACCTGCAACACAATGGGGGCAAGGCTGGTAACACAAACCTGCACAATTATGGCAACATCAGTTCAGTTTCTTCCTTCAGTGTTTTCTTTTCAGAGCCCTGAACTTTTTTCCAGTTCCAAGATGAATGTAGTATATACCACAGACAAATAGAACAAGAAGATCCGAGAAAATGTGCCGTGATCAGGGAAAAACTGTTTCTCACACTGCACTGCCACAAGGGAAACTGGTCGAGTGTGATCCTCACAAGCTTTCAAGACAGCTGTTTTTTTGTGTGAAACTTCAAAGAATTGTTGTCATTCTCAAATCAGCCCATCTACTGTATAACAGAGTTGAGCCAGTGTAATATTAGATGAGAAAGCCGGGACAAAATGGACCACGGCATAGTTCAGAACTCCACAAGAGGTCCCTAGGATCCATTTGACTGTGCCTGCCATTCCAGTGGAGTCCTTTAGCAATTACGCCACTTGGGAACACAGTAGAATAATGTACAATTCAAAATGCATGGGCTGAGTTTCAAAGCTTCCTGCTCTTGATTAAGAATTCAAAGGACTAGAATAGTCAAAACAAAGTACGAAGTAGATTTGAGTTGTGCTTGGAATTTCGTTTGGCTTCTAGAAAAGTTTTGCATTAGAGGAAAGAAGCTACAAAAATCACGTAAAGACAAAAAAAAGGGCTCTCTCCAATCTGTAACCATTCAGCCCGTTGGTACAGTTTGATAACTACTTGCTCTGACGATCTTGTCTATTTCTTGAACGAATTCGGGGCTTTGGTTGGGTGGCTTGTTCTACATTCTCACAACTTAAAATTATATATATAAAATACAAAACATCACATGAATGTTGATTAATGAAATCACAATCAGCAACTGCACTGAAAGCTCAACATTTACAGAATAGTTTCAGCTCCAATTTAAATACATCCATGCACACTCCTAGCCTATTCTAATTGGAACATTGCACAAGATGGGGCCAAGTTCTACTGTACGAGTTTTCCCCACCAGGCGCACAATACCCTTGTCAGAAGTGAAGAGTTCACTACAGAGGAATAGAGCTCTACACGCAGAAGGTGGGAACACTTAATTAGATAGTAGAGATGCAGGTATTCTGCCTAATTCCAAAAGAAATCTACAAAATGTTCCAGGACAAAATGCCATCTCTTCACACCTCAACCAACTACGCAAAGAGGGCAATGTTAAGATTTATTTGTAAAGCCAGAGGGTATACTAGTACTGAACTACATTTGCATGCCAAATCTAAAGTAGATTCAGACTACAGCTATACCTCACAAAAACCTTGCAAATTAAAAATGTATTGAAGATCCTACAAAGCAGAAAAAGCAGACTTAAGCTATTAACACAATATTTGAGGACTGATCTAGGTGTTCAAATTGTGCCATTTTATCAAGATTACTTGGACAAAAAAAAAAGTACAAAAGGTACTTGGATATACACATGATTTTGAATCTATAACTCAACCTCAAACATCCAATTCAAATTAGCTTGGAAAAATGTCACAAAAGAATGCAGGACTACAAGGTACCATGTATTATAGGCTGAAAGAACTCATAAGGAAAAAAAAAACTGTAGGAGATTTAAATTGAAGTAATCCAATTCTCGAAGTATAACTAAAAAAAGGATAGGAAGCCCTTGTGCAGACACCAAAGGGAGTTGGAGCTTATGTGCACAGGCCATTACATTCAGTTGTAGATACTGATTGTACAGTACTGAAAGAATGAAAAATGAAGTGACTCACATCCTGACTTTGCATAAGTTTTACGAAAACGTGGGTATCAAATACTGAGAAATATACTGAATCTCCTCCACAACAGGACAGAAAGCAATCCGGAACGGACATCTCTGATGTCCTGATGTCTCGTCTCATCTCATAAAATGAGAAACTGGATCTGGTGTACAGATTCACTACCTCAAGGAGTGAAATAATTTATCCTACTTAAACCCTTTGTTCCAACTGAATCTTGTTCAATAGTCAGACTCAGCTAGTTGTTTGAGAGAACTGATTTTTAGTTGATCTCCAAGAGATGCTTATAGGCTCCAACCTTACCCAGCTTCCAAATCCAATCTGTGCAGTGTTTTCTTAACATCCCGCACTGCTAAAAGATGTATTTCTAATTAAATATTACCAGTTACCTTTTATAAGTTATTTCTGACAGTTTGATAACAGGTATCTTGGGTGACAAATGCTTTGTTGCTGAAACACGGAGAGTTTAATGCTATTAGTAACTGATTCCTTGTACAAACCTACATATTCAGACTAATTTGTTTCAGACAGTTCATTTGTGTTTAATCCTCTGGAAGATCAATGGGCATCATCATAGGGATGTTTTAAACAGATACAATTCTAGTAAATACGTTGACTTGTAACAGAACAATACAGGAAAGCATTGAAGTCAAAATGTCTGGGAAATCTGCAATTAGCAAGAACTACAAAAGGAATACAAATCTCCTTCTCTCTTGGGGACACACGAATGGTACAATAGAAAAGATGAAGAAGTGGTTAAAGTAAAGGTTTGCTACAAGCTCCACCATATTCATGTGAGCTGTAATTGATGACCTGCTGCATCTCTCTCCAGCTTCTATAAAACAATAGCATGTACAGATAATGTTTATTCAATTAAATGCACTGCTATGTTAGCACTCAATCTGGCATCATGATCAAGCAGAAGCTGAATTTCATATAATAGATGGGAGGAGTTAACAGGCAAAGTCCTCTGAGATCTTGGAATTAAAATCTCTAGCTCTGTGCAAAAATACATAAGGATGCAGAATCCCACTCATCAGATCAATCTTAAAAATAAAAGATTCTTTAACCACTAGATTAATCAAAAATAAAACGCTTCTTTACAAACATGGAGAAGTAAACTGAAACTAGCACTCTAGCTACAGAACACTTATGAACAAGCAATTTTGGAAAAAACGCTTTTCAATGGCAACTTTAACATTTAATGAAAAAAATTATAGGTTAACTAGAAAGAACCCAGAACACCTTAAAACCCTAGAATTCCTCCCAAAACTAGATTACATCATTCTGTACTGTTCACCCAACAGTACCTTACAGACAATCGTTGAGGAGTGTATTCACTTCGGAGGTAATTCAAGAAACAGTACAGAAAATTTCAGGGGGTGGATCCAAGGTCTGAAGAGAAATGGAACCTGATTCCTGTCACTCATTTAGTAAAGGCTTCACACTCTAAAGTGAACTGCTGTGGAAAAGCCATTCCAAAAAAAGATTATACTGTTATCTTACACTAGGAAGTGTTTTAAGGGAAAACATTTTAGGGACAGTTCATGACATTTAAATTAATGCTTGCACAAGAACCGATCTCAAAATCATTGTAATAAAATTATGGGCATTGCTTGGAGAAGAACTGACTAAAATCAAAGTTTAAAATTGGCATAACTGTAGGAGCCAAAGCGATTTAAAAAAAACAAGACAGGCAAACCAGATTATTATATGCTATTTTTAGCTCAGTACTTAATCTCAACGCAAACCTTCAGTACTCAAGTATCTCAGGAGACTGAAGAAGCTGAAGAACATCACAGTGCACAGCTTTCTTAAGATGTGCTCAATGTTAACAATATTAAAGAGTCTGTCGGGGAAGCTACTCCTTACAGATTCTGATTTCTGATTGAGCTCTTCTGGAATAATCTTCTGGTGACGTTCACTCAGAATAAACCAACTTTTGAATAATTGCAATAGACATTCAGTTAGTCTTATTTGCAGGGAGTGAGACTGCAGGACAGGTTTCTCCACCACCCATATTCCCAGACATTACTTCCAAGAACTCTGAAAGACCTGTTGAAAATTAAGCCGATAATTACTATCAAAACGGCAATTGCAATCAAATCTGTTTGAGTGCTTCCTTTTCAGGGCACTTATCCCCTAATGGGCCGTTATGACCTTGTCAAAAAATGAACTGTGATTCACAAAAGTAATGTCATATAAAGAATTAAGACATTTCTACACAGTGCACAGTGTATCTATTTGGACTGGGGAGTTTATACTGTGCATTTTGATCACCTATATTTAACTGCACAAATTTCTTAGCTTTACTCTTGATAAATGCTAGATACTACTAACCCTAAGGAGCATTTATTAAGCTTTCAGAATTTTTTCTGGACGAGTTCAACTATCAAGGGGGCGAAGGTGAAAGAAATCCTTATGTGAAAACGAAAATCCTACCAGGAAATCAGGGAATTGCCTGGTAAACACTGCACCTCTTGCACTTTTAAACTAAGCCTGCCTGAGCTCCATGCTGCCCTGGCTACGCACTGCGACAACTAGGACTCACATCCTGCCGCTGGTTGCATCGTCCTGAAAGCTGAAGGGGAGGGGAGACTCGGCAGTGAGGATGCCCTGGTCATGAAGGCTGCCACAGCCCGACACAATCTGCCAGCTGCCGTAATCGGTGGATACTGAGGAACCGGACCGTGCGTACTCGCCGGCAGATCTGTAGTGCAAAGAGAGAGCAGAGCGTCAGGGCATGCGGGGGCTGGGCCAGCAAAGTGCTCACCATGGGCATGACTGACGGCGTCTTTGTGGTGGGGGACACTCATCCTAGCTGCACTCCATTTCAATTAAAAGATTAAAAATAAATCCCCCAGCTACTGGGCCTTGAATTTAGTACGAACTAGGTGATTAAAATTCTCAACATCCTTGGAGGGTATGCACAGCCAGCCCTACAATATCAAAGGGCAGCCTTATGGTCTTGTGGACGGATCCTATGTCACGAACAGAAGCACAGCAGTACGTGATAGAACTTGAGCTCATACAGGGATAGACTACATTAACTGGGATAGTTAATTACTACGAATTTATTAAATATTCCATTTTAAAAAAACAGCTTTACTAAATTTATTACATGTCAAAGGAATTATTGGCTATGCATACAGAATACATCAATGCATCCCTCATTACTTTGGGAGTTAAAGGTTTTAAAGTTAAGGGGTGTAAGCAACAGGCACAGAACTGACGCTAGATGTTCCAAGCTATCAAAAGAAAATTTCCCTTTCATGTTTCTTGTTGATTGGTTGGATACTGATTTAACACCATCAATCCAGGGATGCATTTTCCTCAGTTGCTGTTTAATTCAAATTTACATGCTATAATCACAAAGTACATGGATACTTATTATCCTACTAGGCCAATCTCATTTATGCTATCGTTGAGAGACTGCAAATATTCAACTGTATTTAGTAAATTACATTGACATTTTGTTTGGAGATCACAAAAGCACCTGGTAATGATTTTGCTCAGCGTGCCTTGCCAGAAATGCATTCAGCATACAGAATTAGCATAGGCAGTTTTGGTTCCAATAGCATCTCCTCAGAAACGTGTGTGGGATATTGTACATCTGGGATTGTACACTGCAGGAATATTCATACTCATGATTAATCAGTTTTAAAACACGTTCAAAACACAGCAACATTTCATAAATGCTGCCATAGCACCCAATTATTGCAAGGACTTCCTCTTAAATTCTTGCAAGAAAAGATGATCTGAGGTTAACAACCACAAATTCATATTGTAGTGCAAGATTCCTATAAATACTCCAATACACCAGTGTGTAGAGAACCAGAGCTAATGTTCTTAACGACTTTCATTGTGGAGCTCAGCCCAAACAAACTGAAGTACAGGGTGAATTTTAGAGTCGAGAGGAATTATGACACAAATGCTGCTGTGCTTGGTGAAAGATTCGGAGAGGTAGTGCCCCAAGATTACTAAGGGAACATACATTCCACCCCAGGCTCCCTTCATGTCCTCTCCAAAAACAATAAGGGCTTTCAGCTCCAGAGTCAACCTCTCCAGCCCCATAAGGTCTCCCTGCCAACTGTTTGGTGGGGAAACAGCAATAGCTACAGTATGAACATAAACTAAAGAGGGCACTATTGCTGCAAGTAACTGCGTTTTAATATCGCAATGCACAACATTCATGCATTTTATGGGCAGCTCATTCAGCAGCACTGACTGTAACCAGTTCATTTTAACAAAGGCAAACTGCTAGCAGCTTTATCCCTTGCTGCAACATCCTGTAAAGACTGCAAAAGGTAACTGGAATGGCAATTAGGCTGATGCTCTAACACTTTAAAATGCCAAAAGCCAAGAATTTCAACAGAGCAATCAGAAGGGATATTATTGGGATTCAATGGCTTAAGACAGAACTTACAATTTATATCAAAATGTGCTCTATTACATGCAATGTTATCTGTCTGACAGCAATTCTGTCTTTACAGTGTAGACCAGTCCTGGTTTGCTCCTGTAGCCACATCTACACACATTCTGATGTACTGTTGTGTAGCAGCATGGTCCAACTTAGGTCCTGGAGGGCCAGTTCCTGCACATTTTGTAGGTTAAATTTAAAGTAGTAGCACCTGAAGTGCTGGAAGAACATGGTTTTATTTTAACTATTCTTTTATCACTTAAAATAAGGAATTTACACTGCAGCCCCACTAGCCCTCCAGGAACAGCAGGTGAATGAAACTGGTGTAACCAGTAGAATGAAACCTTCCAAAATACTCCTAATATTAAAATTGAGTTGATCTATCCTTATATTCCCTTAAAGCTTTTGCTATCTCTTGTATTTCATGATACAGTGCAAAATAGACTAAAGAGTTAAGCAGAAACAGAATATTGCTTAAAAAGCATCATGCAACTGGCTCCAGAGGACATCATGCTTTTACATATTATTGTTACACTTCCTTCTTCCACTCTGCATTGTGTGAATTAATCCAGAAACAAGCAGCTCTCCAGGGCGTGAAAATGCTTTAGATTATAGTTAAAAGGCTTTCCCAGAATAACCCTCTTATCCCAAAAAAAGGGGGAGAAGGCCATAGGAGAAATCACAACAAAAGCCTCAACCAGCATCAGGATAAAATAATCAAATTATAGCAGACAAGACAAACAGTCCAATGAATCCAACACTTACGGCTTCATTTGTATTTGAAATTCCATGCAAGCCACACAAATCCTTAATGTCATCTTGACATTCAAGGACTTTCAGTAGTCCGATATCCAATATATTACCCTACACACAAGGGGAAGAGATGTTGAATCTTTTGCCTTTGTATGGTGAGAAAAAGTAATTTCATATTTGTCACTAATTCAAAGTGTCATCTGAAATACAGTAAGATTTCTAGTCAAATTCCTCCCCCCAACACCCTTTCAATGAATTTCAAACCTTGACAAGGACTTACACTTTACTAATTCCGTATTCGCTGCAGTTTAGTAAAAAAAACATTCTACACAGTAGCAGCTTCCTTATGTCTCACCTGCGTCCAGGTACAGCTAGCGGACTGCTCCCAGTCCATACAGAGCCTTGCTCCGATTGGTTGGAAGAAGAAGAGCTGGATGATTTGGCCTCTGACAGTCCTGGATGCAGCAGCTTGTCCTCTGGCTGAAGAGCTTTGCTCCACATAACAGTCTGTGGAGACGATGTCCTGCCTTTTCTCCTAGACAGACATGTAGCTCAGTCAAGAGGCTGAAGACTTTCCTCAAATTCTTCAAAAGTAAAGCTTGAATTTTTACAAAATGAGTCTTGCTTACGTTATCTTTAGATTTCATAGCACAGAATCCATAACGGATGAAAACGAACTTCTCTTCACAAAACATGTACGCATACAACCAAATTCTGATGAAGTAACCTGATGACTAGCTTTGTATGTTTTCCTCAGTCTGGTGATAACTTGCATCCTCCCCAAATGTTCAAACACAATAATCACACAAAGAGGATAAAGACAACCACTGGTGTGCTATTGGGGACAATGAACTGCTTTAACAAAGAGAAATGATGCAGTCTATTAATTGGGGCAGCTGTGGTTAGAATCCTGCATTAACTGGACAATTGTAGGCTCACAGCACAGGTGATACACTGCTGTTACTCCTTGAGCAGGGTACTTTACTTGAATTGTTCCAGTAGAATATCCAGCTGTATGAACATATAGTCTAAATCCAAGCTGCTTTAGAAAAAGGCATCACTGAATTATATAAATGTAGCATTCATTATTACCATCACCAATAGTTAAGTGAATCCTTATTCAGCCTTAAGAAAATGACTATTCCTTTTTAAGTTGAAAAGTTTAACGAGAGCAACCATGGCAGGTTGAAACAACTTTAGCACAGGACAGATCTGTGACCTCCTACCATACAGTAGATTGTAGCGCAGCAAAACAGCACTGCAAGTTAATAACACTAGCTGGGTTCCACTAGCAGAAGTGTTCCCCCACGTTATGAAAAGATACTGCTTTATGTTGCACAGCAGTAGGCCTTTGGCACTGCTCACCAGGCTGCCTGCGCTTGAGACCCTGCAGAGACTGGCTCTGCTCCTTCACAGTTGAAGCTGGATGCCGCTGCCGGGCTGTCTTCAGTCATGAGAGAGAAGTCACTGCTGAGGCTGGTGACGCTGCCCCGGTCTCTCTTATCTGAGAACACAAGGTCATGCGCTTAAAAGAAACCCACAGGGTAGCTTACAACCCAGACCCTGAAGCCACACAGATGTATACAGCAGACGAGGTGAAAGAAACAGAAACACAAATGTGTACGTTTGTACAAAAATATATATATATATATGCGCAATAGTGGAAATCAGACAGACAACTGCCAGGACTTAGAATTTCCAATAACTGTTGGTATCTACCCAAGGCAAAAAAAAAAAAAAATCCTAACCAATAAATGGTAAACCTGAAGGGACTTTAGGTCACTGATGGAGGCTATAAATGGAGGTTTATTCCAATAATTTATACCAACGTACTGCTGCAGTTGAAATTCTTGGGGACAGATATTTTGGTAAGATCAGAACAAAGAAAGGTGGAATGACTTCACAACTTAAAAAGCTGTTTCCCAATCATTGATCACAGATCACACAATGTTGGGGAAGCACAGCAGCTCTGCTGTTGGCACTGCCCCCCCCAAAGGCTCTTGAGTCCCGCTCTTGATGTATGGCTGCACTGCCATCTGCCTGGGGTTTGCATGTTGTCAGAGAACGTTTTCCTTTCAAGGTCCAAAGTCTTGCTGCCCGGGTTAACTGACGTATCCAACCCGCTGCCACACATCCCTGGCCATCACATGCATGTATGAGCGAAAGAGAGTATGTGCCAGCCAATCACCCGTTGTGCACCCTGGGCTTGCTGGGATAGAGGATTGTGGCTAGCCCAGGAGTAGCGTGGTAATTGAAGAATGATGTAAGGGCAGTTTTGGAGCTTTAGTATTTCCAGTATTTTTTCATTGAAATCAATTAATTGCACTGTGGTTCCTGAAAGAATTCGTTTTGTGCAAGAAGCAGATTAACAATGGATTATTACCTCAACCGGAAGGAGCAAGAAAAGGGCATGTCAAGTTTATAGTCAGTGATGTGACCTTCACAGAAGTTTCAGAACAGGTGCTGACTTCTTTGAAACGTTAAGAGTTAAGTACTGTAAGTTTTTGTGGCGAGATATCTGCACAGTGTTGTCCATTTGCACTACTAAACATTTTCTCCAGGCAGCTTCACTGCATTTGTGGATCTTTTCAGCCTTAGGAACCTTCTGTTCCCTTTTGAAAATGCAGTTCGTGGAGATTTTCAGTTGGCCCCGATAAGCTTCTAAATTAGGTCTATTTTGGTAAGTTTGTGAAGCATGACGAATTTGCAATTAATGTTCACACCAGGCACATACCCCAGGTCTTCCCAGCCAAAAAAGTTTGTCGCTCCAGATCATTAAGTCTTGCACTCTAGTTGCTCATCTGATGTGATAGTCTTATCTTTCACATTAAATTGTTAGATTTTTTTTTTACAAACTTTTCAGTCCATGGTTAAGTGCTGGAATAAGCCTGCCTCAATGAGGAAACTTAAGGAGGTAAAAGATTAAAGAGCAGAACATTCCCAGGGGAAATGTCCCTTACAGAGATGGAGGAAGGTAATCTGCTAAAGCATTAATTTATACACACACCTGGCAGCAGAGGCTCTAGGAAAGCATGAGAGTTGGAGAAGCCAGAGAGTTCAAAACCTGCCAGTTCTGTCAAGATCACGAAATTACATACTGAAAGAAGGATGCAATGTGACCCAGGGTGCTTAATTATAGAGAAAATCGGATGCTTTTTTATAGAAAAGGCAAACGTGAATTGACACAAAATTAACAAATGCAAGAATGAACTGGTGCGGCACAAAGGATTTATTCTTTATTCGAGCTAGTGAAGGTTATGACCCTTGGAAGGTCTGTATGTAAACTTCTTAATAAATGAGAAAACTATACCCATCACACTCCAAAAATATAAAGCAAATAAGAACATTTCTTAAATGAACAGTCCATACATGTATGAAATGATGAAGGTGTCTTCTGGTATTTCTATTATTGATTTGTAGTTGGGCATGTGAGCATTCATAACTATAAAATCGATAAAAACTGTTAATCAAGGAATAAATAAGGGTGGGCACCACTCATGAAAAATGCAAGTCTAAGGAACAGGTAAATCTCTTATATGATCATTGACAAAGTGACCACTGTCCAGGACACAGGCAGCACAAGTCTTTCAGGTTTGTATAATACCTTCTTTCTTCTGAAAATTGAGAAAACCCACACAAGATTTACAAGTGGAACAAAGCCCTTTACCACTTTCTGAAGTCTTGCAGAATTGAGCTAATTACCAGCATGGAAAGTAAAAGGGTAACCCTTACAAGTGGACAATGTGAAATAAGTCAAAGTTCAAGATGGGTGCCCAGAAAGCAAGCTTTTAAATTTGACCTCTTCTGAAATCTTGGGTGATTCTTTGTATAAAACATTATTTTATTCTTTAATTGCTACAGTATGTTACTTATTTTAATAGAGCCTTCTTCCGAAATGATTCCAGTTCTAACCTTCCTGATGCCCTCCATAATATTCTCGTTTTGTTCCAGCTCACCCATAATGTTATTTCGATTGAGCTTCAAATGTATGTTTGGCTAAGTGTTTGCTTACCAAATTGAAAAAAGAGAAAGGGATGTCAGCTTAATTAACTTACGTAACTGACAGATCTCTTCAACTGTAAATTCAGTTTCCCTGCACTGTGCATTTTTCGCTCTGAAAGGCAAAAAAAACCACCTTAAAGTTAAACAAATTCTAGATTTAAGAAAATAAAGGCATGAAATCAACACCATAGGTCTCAATTTGGAAACTCTGATTAAAACACACATTTTGTTTATATGGGCATGCTGTGCGGATATCTAGAGATGCTAATCCAAACTAGCATTTCAAGGTAAAATACATAAAGCAAAGAAGTGATTAAGAAGGTACACTCAAGTATCTAATTAAGTGTCTATGGTTTTACATATGCATACTTGACCTTCACCAGTCCCCCACAAAGCCTTAGAAAGCCAGTAGTCATTGACCAACAAGGTATAAGGCAACTGAACAGACCCAACGGAGATAAAATAACCCAAGCATAAACTATATGAAAAAACTAGTGATCCATTTAAATGGATTACCTTTAGTATGTAAAAAGGTAGACAACCCTTGGTTATCTTGACCAGACTGAACTCTGAAGGTAATCATCAGCATTTGGGAAGTACTTGCCATCTAAAAGTTTCTGGATTTTCCCTCAAGTTTTTGGGAAAAAAACAAACATCTGTACAAATTGTATGTTCTCATGATTCAGAATAACTGCGAGGTCAATTCTGAGAAATAATTCCAAGGCGCTTAAAGAGCTTACCTCTGTTTCTTCATTACGGAGAACTTTTCTGAAGTGATGTGCTTCAAAAAATTGAAGCAAAAAAAGAAAATCTGTCAAAAAGGGGGAAAAAAAAATAAGTTATAAAAAGTCTCCCTCTGGTGGCAAAACCCATAATGTCACCTACCAATGAAAAATTCTACATCGCATACAGCAGGAATGGGTCTCAGATAAAACCTGGTTACAGGTAAAGACAAGGTTTAAGATTTCATAATAAATTCTCAGCACTCACCTCCTCTCCTTTGCACAGTCTATCTGGGAGCATGTGCCTAAGAAAAAGAAAAAAAAATACCATGAACAAATACAGACTAATCGAAACCCTTCAAACAATACCCTATTTAACAAAACTATCACGCAATCATGTGTCCTATTCCCCTGTCGGTTCTGGAAAAAAGTCCACTGGGTAACTTTGATAATGTTTAAGGGTTTTAAATATTTGAATCTGATTTGTTCATGGCCCTCCAGGCAAAAGTTAAAAAAAAAAAATCTTAGAGTAGGTGGTTTCCAGGGATTAAAAATCCATGTGGTGGTTTTGTTTTAGTCAGAATGCCTACATGTCCTAGTATTCTAAGGTGTGAGTCCGTGTACAGTCAGAAGGATAAAGACTTCAGGAATCATTAACCTCCTACAGTTTCAAGAAGCAATTTCTCTTTAAAAAATGCTCACCATTTTAACAAGACCAAAAGGATTCATTGCTCCTACTGAAGTCGTAGGGAGTTACAAAAGCTCTGAGATGGCTGACACTATGTCCTACCAGGAATCTATGAATTCTCACAAAAGATGTAAATCATTTATACGTCCAGTTAACCAATAGCGCCTCTTAACAGTAAAAACGTTCATTCTGTGTTTTTTTGTAGACTTTGTCAAAATCTGCAGAGTAGCTGAATTGAATGTGATTACGTAATGCGTAAGAAACCCAAGTTGAGGTCACCCATCACAGAATAGTAAAAAAAAATTACAAACGACTTGTGGAGCAAAATGTCATGTGTTTGGGGCTACGCAGCTGAAAAGGTGAGGGAAATCAAACTGTTCATCTGTTAAGGTGCTGCCTCTATCCATGAGGTCAATATTTCGCCATGAAAAAGTGAACATGAAACCAGCAAGGGGCTCCCGTAACAAAGCCCTCCAGTCCCCACGTGCCTCTGGATTTCATTCCCCCCTCAATCCTCATTTGCTCAGCATCTAAATGTTCTTCACACATATCCTTTTCAACTTCAAAATAGAGCAGGTCTTTTTCAGAACTCGAAGCCAACCAGAAAACGGTCACCACTTTCCCACAATATCCTCAATCAGTGACGGATGTCATTTCGCACAGGTGTATAATGCACAAGGCAATGCTGTAGGCAAGTGCCTTTTCTGAGAGCTGAGATCATCAGCAGCCATATCACCCTGCAACTCACAACTGGCATTTCTGTTGAGCAGGGCTGACAGGATTTTTGGATGCAATTAGTATGAAACTATTTTATTTTGTTTAGCTTCAACATAAAAACGTCTGCCTTGAAAGAAGAGTTTAAGAACTAAGTTTGATGCTGATGTGAAGGTTTAACTGTGGTAAAAAAAGCTCTTCCGTTGCAGCTTTGTCAAAACAAGACATGTAAAAATGAAATTAACTGCTCAGCTTTCCATTTCTACCCACACGGGACAAATGTGTGGATGTTAAGTTACAGCACAGGTTTCAACTGATATACTTCGTATTGCTACAGGACAATACCAACACTGGTGAAAAGCAGCATTTCACAAATTTAATGTTTGCATGAAGGTTGCAGGACACATAGGTGCTTTATTTCCTACTTTCAATGTTTTCAGTGCAATACCAAAGAGACCAATTAAATATAAACAAAAGTATCATTCTTACCCGAAGAGGAACCAGTCATAGGCTATGGTTAGATAAAGAATTTCAGCTGGTTCTAGGTTAGCATGAGTCACACCATCCTTAAAGAGGAACAAGAAGTATTTTTGCTTACAAAGTGAAACACAATACATTTGCTTAAAACTTAAAATGTTAAAGATGGACTTAATGCACTTCTAGGAAGATGTAAGAACTCAAATTGGGGGGAAAAGGGCTGATTATAATTTATAATCTTAGATTCTTGCGTATATACTTTCACCCAAGTAAAAAAAACATTTCACACATCATTCCAACGAAGCTCTCAACTAATCTAAAACTGTGCTAGCTACTCTTCCTTGCATTCATATTTTCAAAAACAATTTAAAAAAATACTATTTAAAATTCTAAAGTCAAAATTAACAGTATGTCTTTGTTATCCAATATGTTATCCAGAAAGCAAAGGATTAAAACAAAGATAATCACATACTTCATCAGGAACTGAAAGTTTGGTTAAAAGGCCTTAATACTGAAATGTCAGCAGATGCATAATGATATTCACCGTGTGAAAGTATTAGATTGCAGCTTAAACTATACATTATGGAACAAACAATTTTCCTTACTTGTTCAGAAAATAGTCTACAATTAACATTGGGATAGGAGAAAAAAACAAGTCAAAATTAGTTTTACAACTTCTGTTGTTGTAAATGCAGCAGGTAGTCTATTACCAGAAAAAGAAGCAGGCCAACACAGAAATGGCTACTTACTGCCCAAAGTGAGAGTCTGAGAAGAGAGATAAAAAGAGGTGTCCGATCCCAGCCGGATATACAGTGCACTAACAATCCACTGTCACCTGCACAGAGCAAAAGAGAAAAGCTTATCATGTAGATGAAACAGTGAAGTCTTTGATTATTTATCTGAATTAATTAATAAGGTTATTAATTAATAAGGTGTACCCAAAAAGCCTTTAAATATGTACTATGCCCACAAGGAAAAATGTTGAATCTTCTACCCGTGATTGTTCAAAAATTAATTGGAAGCCCTGCAGACTAATCAGTTATAGAAGTATCCCCACAGGGATAGTCAGTGTCAAAGCCTACTCTCAAAAATTACAAGATGCAGATTCACATCACCACTACATTGCAACGTGAAAATACAGCACATGACCAAAACCTTCAACTCAATCCATCTTCAGAATTAAATTTCTACACCATTTCAGTCAAACTATTTTGAATTTATATATTTAAGACCAGGAGTGGGGTGTTCAGGTATATTTTTAAGATATATATTAAACTGTGTAGATATATATACACACACACAAATTTGGAATTTATGAAAGATCTTTACATTTAGAATACTCAAACCTATATTTACATTTCTCCCAAACCGCAAAAAATGGCATATATATATACCCTCTTAGGAAGGTAGAATGACCAACAACAAATATTGTTGGAACTACCCCAGCATTCAGCTTGCAACCTCTTAAAGTCTTCCCCTCCAACTGTTTTGCAACACTAATGCAGGGCCAAAGTCTAAAATAACCAAAGTAAATACGTGCTAGAAGTGTACATTTATTTAATGTTACCTTCCATAAAAGACCTTTCAAATGTGTGAAATGTCAAGCTATACTTAACTCTTCAAAAAGTACCTACCACCACTGTTGATGATGTGTATAAGCAGCTTAAGATAATTTTGGGTCTGTTGAACCAGGTCCCATGACTAAAAGAGGAATTGGAAAAAAGATGTAAAAAACTACAGTGACCACATACTTCCTACTGTTAAAGAGAGCAGCAGAGTGGGTAATGGTTAAGGAATTGAATGAACTGAAATCCCAAATGGGGCACTGCCATTGTACTCTTTGTCAAGGTATTTGGATTGCATCGCTAAAATTACATTTATGGATCACAATTGCATAAATGGGTAGAAACAACTTCTGATAATTAGTGCCTGCTAAAAAAAAAAAACGAAAAAAAAGTTACCTTACCAGACAGAGATATGGTTTTATTTCCCATGTTTGTAGTCAAAATACAGGATTATCGACAAATACCACAGTACCATTTCTAAACAGCAGGTGTCACTGTCAGTTAATGATTACAAAATGTTCCAACTGAGCTACAAGCAAAAAATGTAGTACCTGATATTCTCTCCAGTCAATGTTCAAGTTGCTGGCAAGGAATGCTGGAATAGTTAAGGGAGCATCCACAAAGTCCTGCAGTTTAAAAAGCAGGCATCATTAAGATTACTCTACAACTACACTAAAACTGGCATCGTTGATTTTTTTTATTAACTGTTCATATCCATTAACACTGTACCTGGTTCCAGTTGAAGACCAATCCCTCTGCTGTGTAATCTCGATCTTTGTAATCTTTAAAAAATTCACAGCCTGTGAAAAAAGAATGGAAAATTAGTTTAAGCAATCAAGGGACTAACAGAAGGACCCAAAAAAATCTATCATGCTCCTTCAAAGATTGTAAAAAAAAAAACTTTGTAACAAGGGATTGGCCAGCAATACATTGGAAACCATGAACAAAACTAATCCAATAAACCAAAATTCAGGTTTTTGTAAAGATAATTAACTTATAGACATTAACGGCCACAATAATCATTTTGAGAAAGATCGGAGCTAAACGAAAGCTAAAAGTACCTTAAGGTTGATTTTAAAGGAACTAAACTAAGTTTAATTAACACCAGATCCACATAGGCAACGACTTCTTTCAGAAACTGGGGATAGACTACAGAAGCGCAAAAGCCATTGAGGTTGGAGTCAGACATATCGCGCCACACTTACGGACATGCTGTGCCACTGGGCACTTCAGTCTGGCTCAGAAATACTCATTCCCAATTACAGTACAAGCCTGCGCCAATGTCATGTCGCTGGAGCACGCACGCAGCAGAGCTGCCAATTTGGAAGTAGAGAAAGATTCTAATTGCCTGAGCGAACGCAAGAGCTGTGACCAGTCAAGAAGGACATGCTATTACCTGGGTAAGGCACAGACAAGAGAGTGAAGTCTGCATAGCGCTGAGCCTTGTCCACCTTCTCAGACGAAGTGACACTAAGGATAAAAAAGGGGTAGAAAGTGAGCCATCACAGTGTTGGCTTTCATGTTTAAAACTTTAATGCTTAATAAGAACATTTAGTTTTACTTCCACATCTAATGAAGATTCCCATTATTTTAATATTTCACAGTTCTAGCACACAGAAACTGCACTGAGAGGCCAGAATATTGTGCACCATGTTTCAATTTAGGAAAACTGCTTACTTTAGGCCAAACTTCACTTTCTTGTTCTCCACCATCAGGTCACAGATATAGCGGACAGACAGGTACCGGAGGAGCTTGATATCATGACCTCTGACTTTGTCAAACAGCTGGGAGTCTCCATTCCTACAAATAAAACAAAATTCTTCAGTCTTGAGAATGGACTTGTATTTACCTGAACTTTGAAGAACATTTTTCCTTTAATGCAGTTGTTACAAACAAACATAAAATACAGCAAGATATTCCATGATAAAGCTTACTTTCTGCTCCTACCTAAGGCTAACCCACATCTTGAAATGGAGCAGAGCACAATCAAAGTGAAGGCTCATTGACAACAGCGTTATATTGATCAAGTCCTGGAATCTCACTTGCTGGTTTTTCAGCAGACCAGAGTACATCGTTTGCTGCTTACATAAGAACTAGATTTTAAAAATGAGAATGCAGGTTTTAGGTGGATGGCGTTTGGCACGTAGGGCTCAGAGACCAGCAAAGAGACTTGCCCGAGCTCTTTAAAGAAAGATGGGAGAGAATCCTACAAAACACCTACAGTATATCTACAGAACAACCTGGTGTAAAGCATACGTCACAGATGCACAACTTGTACTGCTTCCAACAGCAGCCATATGCTACTAATCTATGACTTTCACCCCCTGTTGACCAGCTGGCTTAATGAATTTGTCAAGGCTGCTAAAAAAAAAAGGCTGTGCAGTTGCAACAAAAAGATCCTGACAACTGAGCACTGGCTTGAAATGCTCAATATAGATTTGTAATCTTTCATTTAAAAAAATCAATTGTAATGGATATAAATATTTTTAAGTACTCAATACTGAAAGCTATGCTTCCAACACTTAAGTCTTTACTTTTCTCAAAACTGGAATAAGTTCACAAATAAGTTAAACACATTTACCGCATTGCACCGTCTTCATCAGGAGCCTCCTCTGAATCTGCCCATGCATCATCAGAACCCCCTAAAGAAAGGCAGAAACAGAATTTAAGAAGAAATGCCTGTCCTTCTTTGCACTGATTGTCATTAAAAAATGGCTTTAGAATATTCAAAAGATGCAGTTTTCAACTAAATGATCTTTGATTACTGCACAGCATGCTTTAGCATTTATAGAAAAAAAAACTGTAGCAGTTTTTATCGTGGCAATGTTATGACCCGCAATTCTGAAACGCTTGACAGAAAATGTATTATAAAACGCTACCTGAAACCGTGCAATGCAAGGATGTATTTTTATATGGCAGCAATATAAAATGTTTAATATATTTAAGAAAATGAATGCAAGAAGATTATTTTACAGAGGATTGAGGAAACCATGTGGATTTCATTTTATAGGGACAAAAATTGGAAAAAAAAATATTGCTCAGCATACACCAAGAGTTTTAAGCTAGTGTCTCTTATTCTATAAATCTTTTAACGGAGGCAGGAGTATAGATTCAATTTCAAAAGTCTAGTTGCTTTTGGAAAAACCTTAAATGCTGCACCACAAAAACAAATAAGAAGACTGACTAAAAACAAAAAGGTGCCTAAGAACCAGGTAACAAGCCACTATTTCAGTAACATACATGTAAAACAATTTTTTTCCTCCTCTTAAATAATTCAGACTGTAAATTTCGCATGGTGGAATTCTCAAAGATCTGAGCTCTTCACTCCCGCGTAAGGCATTGCTGTAAATTTGTGCATGTGGATGAAACTAACTCAACTGTACTTTTGGACCCAAATCAAATTAAGCAGCAGAGACTTATATGCTTGGTCAGTGGAGCACAGCCAAAGGAGCTGTCGAGAGCCCCTGCATAACCTCTGCATGTTTGTTTGTTAAACCATGTGGACATGATTAGCCAACCATGAATTTGTAGCACTCAGTTAGAGATTTCAGTGGGTACTTCAGCATTTGAAAGGATTTAAGGCATTTTACACAGAAGAAACAAGTAAAGGTGTTTCTTTCCTTCTCAATGTTCATGTTAATTCTTTTGGCTGTGGAGCTTTCTTCATGGGTCAAAATGGCCAAAGCCGTTTTACAAAGAATGGACATCATGGTAAAATAAGCAAGAACCTTAATACAGAGCAGATATATTTGTCGCAGTCTTTAAAAGCCAGACTGAAATTCGTGGCTCTCGCAGTGCTGTAGTACACTCCTCACTGAACTGGAACTACAACACTCAATCACCACAACATGACTCCCCTTCCTATTGACAGCTGAAAAAAAGTCCTCAATTAAGCAAAAAATTTGAAAAAAATGTTTCTAAATGCTTCATACCAGGAGA